TGAGATAATGTGGTTTATTTTAAAGTATAAACACACAGGGTGTGTGCTCATATTTCGTGGAGTAATAGAAGGAAAATTTGTCCTGAATGAGCAAATACGCTTAGGAAAACCAGACTCACGGATTCGTTCACATTCCTGGCTTTATGACCCTATGGTTTTATCTGGTTAATGTTAACTTTCCACACTTGGCTACCAAAATAGCTTTCCATTCTGAGGCTTTTACTGCGAACGGGTAGCTTCAGTTTTCCTTTCACACCTCACCGGATATTAATCTTTCAGAATCCTTGTCCTCCCTTTTGCAATGTTCCTCATGTTCACACTTCCTATTGAGAAACTGCTGCACACACTGAGGATATCCTGCTTGGTCAGCAGGGTCGGCTGTTCTGAGCAGCAATTCTTAGGAGATATGGCCCCATTATTCCCCCTGACGGCGGCTCTGGGGGACACGCCTTGTGCCCTAGTAGCTCTGAGGCTCGTCAGACCCAGCTCATTCTCTCTGACTAATCATGGTCTTGAATAACAGTTGTCATCCACAGTTGGTCTCTTATGGAATTACCATGGCTAAGCAATCATTTGTTTGTTTAGAAGCATTAGACATTTTTTTAGAGGCGATTCCCTGGGGATTATGCTGTTTTGCATCAGGCTATGCAGGAAGACATCTTTTAGGAACACTAGGTTCTCAGGGAGGCGCATCGAAGTGAGTAGAAACAATTGTGAATGGAAAGGTGATTTGAGGACGTGATCATTCCAGCACAATTTGTTTCTGAACTGCAGCTTCTTATAGTACTTCATGGGTTGTTTTATGAATGCTGGGAAGTCTGATCTGGGAAAAACATGGGCAACTTTTCTAAGGCTCATATCATTGAGGGTATTTCTTCATTCAAGGAGGAGAGTTTGTTCCAAATAGGAGGAAATTGAGAACATACTTTCTAGAACTTAAATCCTAACTCTGCTGCTATCCCAGTTATCTATTGCCATGTAACGAAGCACCCTAAAATTTAGAGGACTCAAACAAAAGCCATTTTCTTGTTCATGATTGTATGGATTAGGAATTCAGACCAGGCTCAGTGGGGATGGTTTACGGTATTGTCTAAGACAGATTATGCGGTGCTAGAAGATCCAAGATGGCCTTACTCTCATGGTTAGGACACTGGTGCTGGCTGATGGCTGGGAGGTATGGGTAGTTGTATGTGCACTGAGGTAGCTGGCTCTTCAAAGAACTGGACGTCCTCTTATAACTGTAAGTCACACAGGGTCACTTCCCTCACATTCTGTTGATCAAAGTAAATCACAGGGTTGACCTAGATTCAAACAGAGGGGAAACAGACCCCGCTCCTTGGCCAGAAAGCATCACAGTGGCACAGGAATTGTTGGTAGCCACTTTCTGCTGAAATGTTTCTACAGTGGCTTGTTCCTAGCAAAAAGCTTTTAAGTTCCTTCACTTAGCCAATTAGTATTAGTCAACTGCCTCAAAAAAATAGAGAGGGTTACTTATTTTATTAACTCCAAAGTGTCATTAACTGTAAGAGGTACATTGTTCTATACATTATTTAAAAAAAGAAAAAGGCCACCAAGTAAACCATGACATGACATAAATTGTTAAGATGCATCTTGATTTCAGAGATATTACAAGGTGGAGGAAATGTGCATATTCAAGATAATGAAAAAATGGTAATTATCTAACTCGGCAGAGTTCTAAGACAAATGGGTAAAATCCAAGGTTTGGAAGCTAGTCATTATTTTGATCACTGACTCCATCAATTGGGCATCAACTTGCGTAGTCCTTATCCTGACTAAGGCACTCATTCTGGCATGGTCTGATAGCACAGGGACTTAAAAGATCATTATTTCCCTCCTACCTCCTCATCAAACCATGAGGGGCAGGCAAACTGTGAGAATCAAGAGAACAACTGGGTATTTGTGGCTCAATTAGCAAAGCTGCACTCTTTTGGGTAGCTGATCCCCATTTTTGGTTGCTTTGCTCCCACTCAGCTCAACCAATACACCTAGACCTTCTACTAGATTCTTTATTTCACTCACTGAATATTTTTCATCGTAGGTAAGTCCTCAGTAGTTTCACACTGGCTTCCTAGATGATGGGATTTCCAGGAATAACCTGGGTCATAAAAGCAGTGAGTATCATACTTCCAAATTTGGTCAATGCTTATTGGATTCCTATGTATGCCACAGAGTGTGCTAGATGCTACAGTAGTCAGAAAGACAGACTTGCAGCATTCCCTCTCACAGTCCGATGGGGGAGGCAGGCAATGGACAAGAAAAACAAACATCTTAAATCATGAGAGATCTTATAAGTATGATGGGGGAAATGAATAAGGTAATGAGGGAAAATAAGAGGAGACTTCTTTAAACAGCGATGATCATGGAAGGGCATTCTGAGGAAAGAGAATTTAAGCAAACAACAAAAGATTTAAAAGGACAAGCCATGCAATAAGCCAAGGGAAAGTGCTTCTAGCTGGAACAGAAGACACAGCAAGTACAAAAGTGCTGAGGTCGCAAAGAACTTGGCACGTTTTTGAAACTGAAACTAGATAGATACAATCCGAGAACAAGGAGCAAATTTCTCTAGAAAACCATAGAGCAGGCTAGAGATTGATGTCAAAATGTCTCCTATGTTCCACACAGGCAAAACAAACAGAAAATATTTTAAAAACAAACAGCAAAAACAAAAACAAAAACAAAACTGGAACCAGAATATTATAAGCCTAAAAACATCTCTGAGAAGAAAAGAAAATGAGTCCTATAGTGGTTTTTCTCTTTCCTTTCTTCCTAGAATATAATGAGACAGTTCTTAGATTTATAGAGGCTTATTCATGAAGTCGGTATTTCTCAAACATGAGTAAGGAAGCAAGCCTTTCAAGGAAAAAAAATATATAAATCATCAGCATTGACTTAAATCATTTTAATTATGTTTCTTTAAGACAAATGAAGTGTGAATACCTTGTGCTCATAGATCTTATGCAAATCTAAAATGAAATCAAGTTTATAAATTAAAGGCAAACTGAGTTACAAAACCAACAAAGAGTTATCAACATTACTTTAGAGCAATGAGTGATACTATTTGCTGCTGCTCAATTGCCCACGTTTGGTTTACTAGCAGACCATACAACCAACGTGCTTCATTCCACTTGTTGCAAAGTTGGATCATTACTCTTATCATCTTCTTTGATCATCTTTTTAAAAATTAGGTTTCCTTCTTTAGATGGATCCATTATTCATCCAATGGACTCATTATCATAAAGGCCAATGAGCACACTTCAAAACACAATGTTGAAATTAAAATATACAACAAAAATATACTGTTTAACAAAATTTTTTTTTTGTTTTTTACTATTGCATTTACAATCTAACCATGCTAATTTATGTATACACAGCTAAGATTTCATAAATAGCCAATGATTTTTGTAAATATGTACTAATGGTCAGCTCTGGGGTCTGTATAGTTTCTTATGCTAATGATTAGGACCATTCCATTCTCCCACTACCTTTCTCTATGAAATGACTGTAAAAACCTTGGTGTGTATATTGCATTGTAATTTGGCTTTCCTTGGTACTCATATGCCCATATGTTCGACACAGATGTCCCTATGAAATCACATGGAGTATTTCAATAAAAGGTGGTAGTCTGGGAGTTCTAGAATGTGCTCAGATTACTATAAGATTATCATAAATATGAAAACCCCACAAAGTGTAATCCCACAGAGTTTGCAGACTCTAGTAATACATCAGAAGGGTCCAGGTTGAGAAATGGTACATACATCAATAATGGGGTCAGAAGGAAGAATAGATCTGAAATGTTTAATAATATCAGGAACAATCAGCCTAATGTGAATACAGCTGGACTAATGCATGCCACAGAGACACAGCATGGGACATCTATTCAGTTTAGAAAGAATGTGAAGAAGGAAGCTTGAAAAATGTAGTAGCTAATAATAATGATGATTAATGCTTGTTAAGTGTCTAGAGTATCGGGCACTGTGTCAAGTAATTATTAACAATGATAAAAAAAAAAGAATACAGTTCATTTATTAGCTGCTACAGGCATATGTAATAGAAAAACATAGTTCCAACTAGGTCACTTTTTCAAAAGAGAAAGCAGGAGAGCAATTACTTTCTAATTTAACAATGTCAGGTCTAACAATCTAAACAAAATCTCTCACGAAAGATTTCCTGCCCAATTTCTGGAGACCCAGAATCTCTTCCTGAGACTTGAATACCAATACATGTCTCAAAGAGTGTCAGTGATAGAATGGTGTCCACAGATGGCTGCCAGGAGCCCCTTCCCTCCCTGTCCATGTGAAGTCTGATGCCCCTTCCTTTGAAAACAGTCTGGCCTTAGTGGTTTGCTTAACCAGTAAAATACAGTAGAAGAAGCATTTGGGTGCCTGTAAATCTAGGTCTTAAGAATGGAACTTGGAACTTCTACCAGCTCTTCTGAACTGCAACTGTGTGGGATGTTTCCTCTTGGACCTCAAGTGTGAGAAGGCTGCTGGAGGAAGGCCAAGCAATGCATGTGGGCACTGGCACGGCCCATGCCACCTGAGCCCCCAGCCAATGGCCAGCATCCATGGCCAGCCAAATGTGCGTGCCACATCTGTGGCTCCTGGCCACTTCCAGAGAAAACCAACCGAGAGAGTCCCAGCTCCGCCCATGGAAACATGGAAAATACCAATAAGTGTAGTTTGAAGTCCCTAAGTATTAGGATGCTTTGTTATGCAGCAATAAGTCAATATACTAGGATCCCAAGCCAAATCATTCATTTCCCCCCAAACCCACTCTGCCTTTGTGTGTCCCATCATAAACTTCCATTTAATTAGGTAAAAAATCTTGAAGTCATCCCTGAGCTTCTCTTTTTCTCAAATGCTGCCTGCAATCCACTGGCAAATCCTGTTGGCTCAGTATCTAAATCATATCCCAAATTTCCTCACTTATTACTTCTTCTGCCCCTTCCATCTTCATCCAAAGCTCCCAGGACCTCTTACCTCCTGCACTAGCTGCGGAGTTGGGCTCCCTGCTCCCACCTTTGCCTCTAGGGTTTCTTCTCCACGTGACAGGCAGCCAGAGTCCTCCTGCAAAAACAGAAATTCCTCTGCTCACAGTCCTCTCGTCACATGTAAAATAAGCCCAAAGTCCTGGCCATGGCCTAGAATGTACTCCAGCCTCTGGCTCCCATTTCCTTGCTGACCTCATTTCTTACTGCTCTCCTCTTTGCACACTCTTCGGCCAGACAGGACCTCTTGCTTGTTTCTTGAACATGCCAATCACACCTGTAGTTCGTTGTTTTGTTTTGTTTTTTAAGATTTTATTCATCTATTTGACAGACAGAGATCACAAGTAGGCAGAGAGGCAGGCAGATAGAGAGCGAGAGAGAGAGAGGGAAGCAGGCTCTCTGCTGAGCAGAGAGCCCAATGCGGAGCTCGATCCCAGGACTTGAGATCATGACCTGAGCCAAAAGCAGAAGTTTTAACCCACTGAGCCACCCAGGCGCCCCTGTAGTTCGGGGTCTTTACACACTCTCTTCCCTTTCCCTAAAATACTCTTCCTAGAGATATTATTATGAAACTTTGATCCACATCTCTGTGCATATTGCTGCTGCTCCAGGAGGCCCTTCTCTGACCACCTTCACTAAAATAGCAATGCTGGACTTTCTGCAGCCCCATACACTGCTTTAGTCTTCTCTGTCATATTTCCATCACCACCCTTTGCTATGGATCTCTTTGTTTCCTGCCTATTTTGCTCCATCTCAATGGAACCCTATGAGAACAAGGATATTTTCTGTTTTGTTTACTGATGCATCCCCAGTGCCTAAAAGAATGCCTGGCACATAGTAGGTCCTCAAGAAATTCTTGTCGGATGAATGAATGATCCCTAGACCTGTTTCCCAGAGTGTCAGTAAGTACTTACATATATCTGCCTGCCTGACATTTAAGCTAATGTTTTCCATATGTCATTCAGTTCTCAACCTCAAGACACATGACTTTCCCAGGCTAAAAGGGGATGGAGAGGACACGTCATCCCCATGCTGTCCACCTTACTAATATTTGGCCTCAGTACTGTCTGTGGGTATGTATTCTCTGTGTGTGACCACAAATCCTCCTCCCAATCCTAACTTCTTGGAGCTCAGGTTCAGACAGACTTTATTTAGGAGGCTACATAAGTTCAGATGGCCGACCCTGGTCATTCATCTATTTAATTAATGTCAATAGAGCCCCTACTCTGTCCCAGGCCCTGTAAAAAGTACTGGTGATACAGTAGGGAATAAGATAGATTGGGCTCCGTCTACTCAAAGCTGGCATTTTGAAGTATGGCTGAGAGATTAGGCAGCTGGGGAGTAATGGCAAAATGTGCCAAGGAAACTGCCCATAACTACAGCCTTGGGGTGTGAAATGGGGCTCCCAGCATCCCCGGTTCAGTACCCCAGAGCTCTCCTGGATCCTCTGAGGTTCCTTCAGCCTTCATTCAGCTTGGGACTAGACCAGATTTTGTGGTGTAATTGCCCTTTGTAGATAATAAAACTTTCCATTTGTACAGTAGTTCAGGGCACTGATAACAGCCAACATTTGTTGGTGCCAACCAGGTGCCCAGTGCCATGGAGGGGACATAGTTATCTCATTCCCGCAATACACTTGGGAGGTAAGGTTATTGTCCCTATTTTATGATTAAAAAATCAGAAGCTCATAGAGTTTCAATAATTTGGCATTCAACTAATATAGAGCAGACAGAACTCATAACTGCTTGACACTAAATTTATACTTTTTCCTTAACACTGCATTGCTGCCTATTAAAAATTAAGATAAAATGTTCTGGTGTCAATACCTGTAAAAGTTCATGTCTGTTATCTGTTTTTGCCATTATATATCCTTCTGAGTCAGCAAAGGCAAGTGCTGCTTTCCCATTTTACGGGAGAAAAAATTCAGTCCCATTAGAGAAGCATAATGGAAGTCATTTAAGACTACCAGGCAGGTTTGTATATTCAAAGGTGTTTCCCACATTGGCTGCCACTGAAACCAACATTCTCCCATAAAAGATTTTTTTCTTTGACCAATGAAAAGGTTAGGGTTCTAATTGCTTCTTATTAAAATACAAGTACTCTTAAGAGGGCTTATAACCCAAGCAAATTGTCAGGTACCATCTTCTTGGGATCTGCTTGAGAGTCGGCAGAGAGGATTATTGCTTTCAAAGTAAGGAAGTAAGGCATCCAGAAATTGGGGCACCTGGGTGGCTCAGTGGGTTAAGCCTCTGCCTTCAGCTTGGGTCATGATCTCAGGGTCCTGGGATCAAGCCCCACATCGGGGTCTCTGCTCGGCGGGGAGCTTGCTTCCCCCTCTCTCTCTGCCTGCCTCTCTGCCTACTTGTGATCTCTCGCTTTCTCTCTCTGTCAAATAAATAAATAATCAATCAATCAAACAAACAAACAAACAAACAAAACAAAGTAAGGCATCCATGGGGAGAGTTCCAGGCACAGACTCCTTCTTCAGAAAACCACTTAGACTGGGCTCGAACTGGAGCTACTACTTGACTGGAAGGGGCCACATGAGTATATTAGCAATACAGCCAACCAGACCCAGCGCTCCTGGCTTCCTGACTCTCTCTTGGGCTCACTCTCATCTGAACCCATCAACCTACATGCGTGGGGGGCCCATGCCGTCCCTGACAGTACGGCTAATGAGCACAGACCCAGAGAAGTAGCAGGAGAGCTTTCAAACTCCATCTAGTACAAAGATCCAAGTTTTTTTGAAGTTTGTTTCCCTACTTTGTAAATAGCTGGACCTTAAGGGTGTGTTGCTGGGATAGAATCCTTAGCCGCAAACAGGAGATCCACCAATAGAACCAACTTAGGCATCCTGGCTCAAACTCAGAAGCACCACTCAGGGATGTGTTCCAAATCCTTGGGACAGATGCATGTGTGGCTCGGGAGGTCCCGTCTCAGTAGTGTCTTCTAGATGACATTGGCTGCAGCCAGCCCACTCGCCGAGTGCCACATAACCAAGATCGCTTTGCCCACACATCACAAGGGCCTGGGGAAACCCTGTGGCAAAGCCAAAGAGCCCTAACTCCAGACCTTTCAAAGCAGTCCTAAAGCCCAGAGGGCAGTGTATTATCTGTATTTACCCAACAAAACAGCAAAGGTTAAAACGACAGTTGTGGATATTTTCAGCAGTTGAGACTGTCAGAAGAGCAAGAAGCATGACTAAACATATCCAGGCAGTTTCCCTGCATTGCGAGGCAGGGCTCATTTTTTTTTTTTTTTTTTTTTTTGCTTTGTTTTGTTTTTGTTTTGGAATTCCAGCACCTTCAAAGAGTAGTCATATTGAAAGAAAATAACCACTAGAATAATAAACATCCCTTATACATCATGAATTGTTATGGAAAACTTTCCTGTATATATTTTCTTGAGAATTCCCAAGTTCCTGAAGCTCACACTGCTAATAGGATCTTCAGCTGTGGGATCTTTTGCGACAATTCGGAAATGTGGGCAGCCAGCTCACGTAAGAAAGTGGACGCCATTTCCCACATCCATCCAAGACCTCTTGATACTTCTTACGTGTTCTAGCTCATCAACCTTGTCAACGAAACTCTAGTGGGTCATTTTCTTTTTCAAAAAGAATACGAATCATGTAGCATATCTCAGGGATGAACAACAGACGACAGCATTTAACAAAAACGCTCAGCTCAGTGTGCCAACTGGGTCACAGGCATTCTCTCACTGAATTTGCACAACCATCTTGTGGGGGAAGCACTTTTAGTATCCTCACCATTTTCCAGATGAGGTCACCAAGGCACGGCATGTTTGAGTGACAAGCCCAAGGTTACATAGCAGGTAGCTAACTGGTAGAATGGGGGTGCAAGCCAGGATCCGTCTTCTGCAGAGCCAGCAAGCAAAGACTCCCCACGCTTCCTTGACTCCCCTCCCTCCCTCTTGCCCCAGCTCTGTAACCTCAGTCTCCAGCTTGCCCTCTAGGGGCCGGCGAGGGAACTGTTAAAATGCGGGTCACTTCTGGGATGGGTCCTCGCTCTCGGGGACCTGCACCATTACCTGACCCTCAGTTTCCCTACGTGAAGCATTCTGTTGTCCAGCCGGCAGTCATCTTTCCAACAGTATGATTTTCCATAGGGAAGCAATACTAGTTTCAAACAACCAACCTGCAAGCGAGCTCTATCCACACGAACTGCCTGTTTAAGATCACATTGTAGTAAAAATTCCCCTCTGACCGTCTCTCTCCACACCTAACCCAGAAAACTGTAGATATGTCAGGATGACAGTAAGTCCAAGTTTCCTGTTTCATTTTTTATTGTATGTTTGTAAAGCAATCAATAGTGTACCGTTTCTAATGCAGAAGTTACCAGTCATCTCAATGTTCAATGGCACATTTTGTTAAACCCTCTCCAGTGCAAAACCACACAGCATCCGTGTTATCTACTCTGTGCTCGCTTCCAGCCTTCACCATTTTGAAATTACCTGATGCTTATTTTCCACTTCTATTTTCTATGGGCTGCATTTTCATTCTTCACTCTTACCTTTTCCTTGTGTTCTTTTAGGCTCATCTTTGAGTGTCAGTCTTGGTCCACAAACAAGGAAATTTGCTCTCATTTCTTTCAAGTTGTAAAAGTAATCAATGTTATTTATTAAAAAAATACTTTTTACCAATAAAAATTAGCTTTGGTCTTCAATCTGATAATCAGAAAGGAAAACCTCATCGGTCCTTCTGAAAATGCCTTTTACGGTTTTTTTGTTTTGTTTTGTTTTGTTTAGAGGGAATGGGAGATAGGGGAGAGGGAGAGAGAGACTCTCAAGCAGAGTCCACACCTGGCACGGAAGCCTGAAGCAGGGCTTAATCTCATGACCCTAAGATCATAACCTGAGCCAAAACCAATCAACTGAGCCACCTAGGTGCCCCCTAAAATGCCTTTCTTAAATAAAATATACCTCTGTTAGACTAGTAATGGAGCAGTTCTCTAAGGGGTACACATCAAAATCACCTGGAAGAAGGGTGGCTCGGTCAGTTCAACGTCTGCCTTTGGCTCAGGTCATGATCCCTGGGTCCTGGGATTAAGTCCCACACCAGGCTCCTGGCTCAGTGGGGAGCCTGCTTCTCCCTCTCTCTGCCATTCCCCCTGCTTGTGCGCGCTCTCTCTCTCTCTCTCTCTGATAAATAAATAAATAAATAAATAATCTTTAAAAAAGATCACCTGGAAGGCTTGTAAAAATGCTAATTGCAGCCCCATCCATAGAGGTTGTGGGGCCTGAGGTGGGGCATTTCTGACAAGTGGCCAGCTGAAGCTGATACTTCTGGTTGGGGGATCCCACTTTGAGAACCAGTGGTATAATATTAGTGGTCACCCCAAAGTCATTTATGACTTCTTTAAAGCTCTGGTGGTTGTAATTCACAAATGCCTAATCAGACGGGCCTGAGCGCAGGGGAGAGTTCATTGGAGCAGCTGGAATAGACTCCAAGATGAAGCTGAACCACCAGGCTAGAGCAGGCGGATGGAGGAGCACGGCAGGACGCAAGCAACCTCCTGGATCTCTGTCCAATCTAAACTCAAAGTTGCTCTGTTCAAATCATCCAGGGAGAGATCGGACAGGCCACTGGCCAGTTGATGAATGGACTCCCCCAGGGTCAGAGTTCAGCCCTGATTAAGTCAGTTTAGGCCACAGGCGCAGAGTCTCTTAATCCAAATAAGGTGCCCTGAGAAAGGTACAGCTCTTAGAGAAGACCGGCTTGGCCCAAAGCCTAAAGGGCATCTGCTGCATCATCTGAACTCTCATTGTCAAGAGACAACTGTGGTTTGGGGAAAGTAAAGTACTTGCATCTAATAAATAGCAAAGCAGAAGCCAGTCTTACTTGGGTGGCAGGGATGTGGGGAGGGGAGGCGATGAAATGTGATGCCTGGATTCAAAGCTAGTCTGGAAGCGGGGAAGAGAGATTTGTTTCTTAGCCAATGCTGGGCTGAAGCTTCTGGTAGCAGCTCCAGAGGTCTGAGAGTTAAATATTCAGGAATTCTGCAAGCAGGTCAACCGTGGGTAGCCGGAAATCTGCTGTAGTTGGAGTATCTACACCATGAATATTGACTAACTTTACACATCAGCCCTCCCTTAATTTTTAGTTCCAAAGAGCCTGTTTGCTAGCACCTCATTGGCTAGCTCCACATGGGGAGAATTCACAATCAATGTAGACACCATATTTCATGTAAGATAAGGCAACCTGAATTTGCAGTGTTCCCAATAGTTGCCCTTCTAAACCCCACCTTTAGCTGATTGCCCTGGGGCTGGCAGCTAGCAATAACTTTGTGTATCCAGTCCCTCAAACTTCTCTCCCCTAAGGGCAAGCACTCTTTCTTGCTGACCCAGTGCAGGAAACAAGCCTACTGTCTTGGGGACCAGACTGTGTGCTGCTCTCGTTCCCAGATTCAAAGCTGGCTTTGTTCCAACCGCCGAACTGCAGAACTTCAGTAGTACAAGATGTAGACGAGCCTGAGCAAATGCAGATAAAACCGAGAGAGCTGTCTTTAAGAGATTTGTGTTAAAAAAAAAAGGGGGGGGGCGCCTGGGTGGCTCAGTGGGTTAAAGCCTCTGCCTTCTGCTCAGGTCAGGATCCCAGGGCGCTCTGCTCAGCAGGGAGCCTGCTTCCTCCTTTCTCTCTGCCTGCCTCTCTGCCTACTTGTGATCTCTGTCTGTCAAATAAATAAATTAAATTAAAAAAAAACACAAAAAACACAACTAATGAGGCAGCCGATAAATAGTTTCCCTTGGGGGGATATTGGCTTACTGTGTGATGATTTAACGAAGGAAACTCCTATGCAAATTGCCCAAGACGTCTTTCTCCAGGCTCCCTCCAGGCTCCCGTTATGTGTCTTGGCTGCCCAAGACCTCATTCCCATCAGTGGACAAAGGCTGGGAGAGAGAGAAACCTCTGTGACTGTAAGTGATTCCCCAGTCCCCTGGCCTCTGCCACCTGTCACAGAGCCCGCTGACGCACCTCCACTGCCACGTTGGCAGCACTCCACACAGTCTCCTGTCCCACATTTCTAAAGAGGCACTAACTGCCGGTGCTTCACTGACCACAAGTCAGCACAGGGGCCGGGTGGGCTGGGGGCGGGGAAGAGTGTTTCCAGCCAGGGCTTCCTGGGCCAGAGAGCCTAAGACAACACAGAGCAACACTCTAGCCTGCCTGGAGAGGAATTCCGGCGGGAAGATTGCTGCCTGTGCTGCTGCTGGGATGGACTGTGGCATGATTTCCTGGAACATAACCTCGTCATGAGATCTCCCGGGCATCTTCTCCTACAGCAGGCTGGGATTTACGAGTGCACTCGTGTAAAATACGAAAAACATGAGAGGATGCCAAGATAAATGAAGTCCTGGCACTGACATCTACGGAGACAGAAACATTTTCCAAATTGTAATGCTCTATCTCCTCCCTCCCTTTTCCTTTCTTCTTCCTCCTTCTGCCTCCTCGTCCTTCTCTCCCCCACTCAAAGTCTGCCCTTCGCCCCATTTATAGTCATTGAACTTTCACTGTGAACTTCCACCGATGTACTAAACTAGCTACTTTGGGAAACACAAAAATGTGTGTTGAGGTGAGAAGTGTTTAGCGCATGGATCCAGCAGCTTCCCTCTCCAAGACCAACCTGCTTCATCTTATTCATTGTTTTCTCCGAACACTTGAGCACACTATTCTTAGTGATGGTGGGCAAAACCTGACCCCCGCCCCTGCAGTCTCCTAGGGGAGGTGGATACTAGCAAAACTAAGGAGAGCCCAGAAAAATACCTGCTCTACAGTGGTACCTGTGAAGGGTTAAGATCAGTGCCTCTAGTTTTTGGAATCACAAGCGCTCTCACTGGGTTAGTGCATGATGTAATGTCATCTTCATAGCAGCCCTAGGAACTGGGCAGGGGAACAGTGTTGTTCATGCTGGAGGTCTTCTTGTCCCTCCTGGGCTGGGGGCTCTCTGAAGGACGGACCATGTTATAGAGTCAGAGAATCTCATAACTGAAGAAATTATGAAAGAAAGACACACAGCTTAGCACTTTCCCTACACCAACAAGAGACAGAGTGGAAAGGCAAGGAATTGGACTTGGCCACCTGGTTCCTGCCCCAGTGCTCAGCCATTTGCTACATACATTATTTTGAATATGAACTCTTTTTGCCTTAACATTCTCTTCTATAAAGTGAGATCAACATTATGTTATTGTGCTGTTAAAATATTAAATGAGGTAAGGATGTGAAAACACTTGGTGAAACACTGAACATTATTACAAATATGAGAGCTCTTTGTTCCTATCTCTCTTAAAGCCTAATTCTTTTACACTTAATTGAAAATGTGGTTGTGTGGGGACCAGATGTAGGCTCTTTGGAAGCAGAAGACAAGCTGTATTGATGTGAGTATGGTGGCTGCTAAAATGTTGTTTTAAACATAATTTTTTAGATAATAATTACTGGTTGGGTGGATAAATCATAAATACAGCTTGCCCAAGGGCAGTTCTGAATGTCTCCGGGGCTATTTCACATATACCGTAAACATGCCCTCTGAAGAATTTCTCTTCCACCTCCATTCAGTCCCTACGATATGACTACAAGGCAAGTTGGTCACAGTGTCCCCATTACAGCAGAAAGATCACCCATGTTTCTCACTGTACCATTAGGCGGGGTGAGAGTCAAGGCTTGCCACTCAGATCTCACTCTCAAGAGGACACTTGTCATTTTCCATTTGTAGGCTGATGTCCTATGGGCCGTGCTGCTGGGATGGATTGACAGTCATGGAATGGAGTCCTGGGGTCTTCAAGATTCAACAGAGCCACTGGGATGTCTTGGCCACAGATTGTAAATCCACTCTTGGGCACATATCCCTTCACACAGCCAGATACAGATTCTGCAGGCAATTCCAGCTGCTCCTATGAAGCTCTCTGGAGATAATGTGCTCATCCTCATCAGCTATTTGATTAATTGTTTGTCTGTGAAGCACCTACTCTATCCTGTGCTTGAACTACTGATGTAGGAGTTGTTCTCAGAGGCAGGAGTTGAAGCCATGAGAGTGAATGCCTTCAGGGATAGTGTGTGAGTAGACTGGAGTGTTGGAGGATACTCATAGTTGGTAAGCAGTACAAGGAAGAGGAACTAGAAAAAGGAAGAGAGAGAATGTGAGAGAAGGAGAATGAGGGAGTGACATGCGGAAATGACATATCATAGAAGCTGAGAGACAGAGGTGACATAATAGTATCATATCCAGGGGGGGAGGAGAGGAGTAAATGAAACAAGATGGGATTGGGAGGGAGACAAACCATAAGTGACTCTCAATCTCACAAAACAAACTGAGGGTTGATGCGGGGAGGGGGGTTGGGGGGGTGGGGTTATGGACATTGGGGAGGGTATGTGCTATGGTGAGTGCTGTGAAGTGTGTAAACCTGGCGATTCACAGACCTGTACCCCTGGGGATAAAAATATATTATATGTTTATAAAAAATAAAATTAAAAAAAAAATAGTATCATATCCAGTGGAATCATCAAAAGGAACTCTGGTGAAAGACCACGAGATGTGGCAATAAAGAGGTCATTAGTAAAATGTAGGAGGGAAGTTTTAGCTCTGTGGTGAGTCAAAAGGAGCAAGAGAGGGAAGATGTAGCTGCCCGGGAAAGTGATACTGTGGCAGCAGTTCACATATTCAAGGATTTGGACAGGAGAGAATTGTTAACCTGTAGTGAGAAGAGGTATCAGGATCAAGTAAATATCTTGTCAATTTGGGCAAATCTCAGTATGCCTGGTATTAGGAGGGAAAGAGTCAGAAGGAAGGGTAGGAAATAATAAATATACGTATCTATCCTCAATTCCTAACACAGAGCTCCTAAAATCCTTGTGATTTTCTAAGTGATAAGAATATGAGGAGCATCTTTTGTTCTAACATTTGGTCTTTGCCTGATTTCTGAACCAGAGCTCCTAAATCCCTTGGAATTTCCCAAATCCCTTGGAATGTCTTTTGTTCTAATGAGGTAGCTCTGGGTGGGCTCCTGAATAGCTTCATGTTGAGAGTGGTCACCAAAAGACAAGATCATGTTGGAAGTTTGGAACTTTCCACCTCATTTCCCATCCTTTAAGATGGGGAGAGGGCCTGGAGACTGAGTTAATGATCAATCAGACTTTGTAATGAATCCTCTACAAATATCTCAAAAGTACTAGATTTGGAAGCTTCTGGTTTAGTGAACACATGAAGGTGTGCTGGGAGAACGGGGTGCCTGGAGAGGGCATGGACACTCTGTACCCTTTCCCACACATCTTGCCTTATGTATCTCTTCATCTGGATTTTCACCTATATCCTTTATAATAAACCAGTAAATATAAGTGTCTCCCTGAATTCTGTCATCCGTCTAGCAAATTAATGAACCTAAGTAGGGGGTGATGGGAATCCCACTTTACAGAAGTATAGGTGATAACCTAGGACTTGTGATCAGAATCAAAATTGGGGGCAGCCTTGTGGGATTGATTTGTGTGATCTGAGGCTAATTCTGGGTAGATCATGTCAAAATTGAATTGTAGGGTACCCAGCTGGTGTTGCAGAGAATTGCTTGATATGGAAAACCCACACATCTGATGTTGGAACTACTGTGAGTGTGTGGGTAAAGGAAAACATAGAAGTGGCTTCCCTAGACAGAGGGGAAGGTTCCAAAGGAGAAAATGACTGGAGGAATACATATTTACAGGAAAGGATGGGCTTCATATGATGGAAGTCAGAAACCTCTTCCTTCTAGCCTAAAGTTGTAAAATGAGGGTGCAGAAAGAGAGCCAGTGAAGTTACATTATCAAGAGCCAACTCCTCCAAAAAGACCACAGGAAAACCTGTTAATCAAATAAGGAAGAATATTTACAGGGTTTGTGGGTCTGGGTTCAAGTGGTTCAACATAGGTCTTTGAAGGGGAGATCTGATTAGGACTAAGCAAAATTCATGACATGATTGTTAAAACTGGTGAACTCAGGAGGTGAAGGTCAAATCTTGGATAAGCAAATGGTTATTTGACAACCAAACTGTTTGCCAAAGTAAATAATCTATTGTCCTGAGAAGAGAGCTGTTTGACCGGATGAGCAAACTATTTGCCCAGACAAAGCAAACAAGGTTATTTATTGGTTTACAGCTTTTACTTCCTAGACAAGAAATTCCTCCAGAGACTAGTTGTCATGTTGACAGAGATGGTCTTAGGCTCAGTCCTCACATTTAAGCTTTGTTGATGTAGGTGGTCTTGATGCCTAACATTAAGGGCCTCCTTAAGTGTTAGCAGAAACCAAAAACACTATGACAGTTGTTTCAAACTTTACTGAACATTGAAATCATCTGAAGATCTTCAAAAAACTACTCATGTCTGATGCTCACCCCTGAAGTTCTAATTTAGTTGGTATGGGGTGCAACCTGAACATCAGGACTTTTAAATGTCCCTCACCTCCAGGTGATTCCAAACTCAAGGTCTGGCAACCGCTTCACTAGAATTACAGGAGAGAGTCGGGATAAAGTCACCATTTGGGTGGTGCTTTGGGACTAGAAGAAGAAGAGGAGGAGGAAGAAGGAGGAGGAGGAGGACGTGGAGGAGGAGGAGGAGAAGGAGATGATTGGTAAGCTATATAGTATATGGCAGGTTGAAATCACCAGCAGTATTCCAGAATAGGCCTGATCTGTAGCTTCCACCATGGAAGCCAACAGCAGCTTGGGTGAGGCAGCCTCAGTGGAAAGCTGGACGGAAGGGACTGAGGCGTCGAGCAAGTTCTCTGTGGTGATCAGTGTGGGGAATGTGGACTTGAGTGAGGAGAAGAACAGGCAGCTGAGAGCTATGAGCAGAGAGAGAAGTCTGAGGTATGGACTTTTCAGAAGTGGGGGGATCCCTCAGGGGCATTAAAAGAAGGAGGCCTAGGATGTGAGGGTGCCGCTTCTCTGTTACGTGAAATGAAGGTGAGGCCTGAGGCCTCATGGAGGAGAAGGACAAACACATGTAGTGATGGATGATGATGGGGTGGCCTGCATGGGGAGAAGAAAGAACACTGAA